GAAGATCAAACCTCTCCATTCTGAAGGAAATCAGCCCTGAGTGCTCACTGGAAGGACAGATCGTGAAGCTGAGGCTCCAATACTTTGGCCACCTCATGAGAAGAGAAGACTCCCTGGAAAAGACCCTGATGCTGGGAAAGATGGAGGGCCCAATGGAGAAGGGGACAACAGAGGACGAGGTGGTTGGACAGTGTTCTCGAAGCTACTGAGTTTGACCAATCTGCGGGAGGCAGTGGAAGACAGGAGTGCCTGGTGTGCTCTGGTCCATGGGGTCACGAAGAGTCGGACACGACTAAACGACTAAACAACAATAACAACATAGTGAATGGGGTGCTGGTGGTGAAACAGAGCGTTGTTTTTAACAGAGATAATTCCGTCTTGAACATGGAGTCGAATTGGAAAGACACAAAGCAGCTCTGAAACAGATCGGGCTGCTTCCCAAAGTTACAGATACAAGTCGAATCTTGCGGCTGGTACACACACCCCTAATATGAATGTGAGATAGCGAGACAGATACCTTAGGGAAGGAGAAGGCTGGAAAATGTCATTTATCTAGTTGGATTCACTGCCAGTATTTAATATTACTGTTCCCCTGCTTATAAAGATATGCACTGGAATGACCAATCCGCAACAGCAGCTGAACATCAAGTTTCTAAGCTAAATTCTGGAGCTGATCTGAAACATACATTTTTCAAATATACTGAGCAAGAATAAAACTTATCATTGCCTTGTGAAAAGTGGCCAAGTGTCTAAAACTGTCTGGAGTCCCAATAAAATGTTTTATTGCACCCAAATGACATTTGATGTCAAGAATTCTGGGGGCAATGCTTTTATAGGAAGTTAAAGCGCAGGTCCTCTCATTATCAAGCAAAATAGTGATTTGAAATGTCAGCTTGGATAAAGGGGGGAAAATGAGTTCATTGGGATTACCAGCATAACCCTTTACATACCAAAAGGGTTAAGGGACCTCTGACCATTAGGTCCAGTCATGACCGACTCTGGGGTTGCGGCGCTCATTGGCCGAGGGAGCCAGCGTACAGCTTCCGGGTCATGTGGCAAGCATGACTAAGCCGCTTCTGGCAAACCAGAGCAGAGCACGGAAATGCCGTTTACCTTCCCGCCAGAGCAGTACCTATTTATCTACTTGCACTGGTGTGCTTTCGAACTAGGTTGGCAGGAGCTGGGACCGAGCAACGGGAGCTCACCCCATCGTGGGGATTCGAACCGCCGACCTTCTGATCAGCAAGTCCTAGGCTCTGTGGTTTAACCCACAGCGCCACCCGCATCCCTTTACATACCTACTTGGGAGTAAATCCCACTGTTTGCAGTCCTAGTCAATTATCTGCTGCCTAAGCCTCGTCTAGGACACCCGAGTTATGACTGCCGCATTGCTCTCAGTGTGAATTCATGCTTCAGGTTCTTCTGCCTAATAGAACTGAAGCAAACCTAGAGAAAAACAGACACAATGACTTGGGGGGAAAACACCTTTCTGAACCAAATACTGTCAAACGTGACAATTGCTTGTCCCCCCCCCCCCCTCCGTTTTCACTATTGAGAAAGCTCCTCTCTCTATACGCAAACACACCTGGGACAAAATTTAGGAAGTGGTCAAGTTTTTACAGCCTTTACAGGAAAAGGAAAAAATTGATCGTGCATTGAGCAAAGAAGGAACAAATGTTGAGACAGCAGTATCCTCTTTTTTGTAGAGAATTACTTCATTTACAAGTAATTCTCCAGTGATGGGTAACTGAAAGACTTGACCACCATCTAATCTGTAGAGAAGTGTTGTGTTTCCTTTCATGCCCCAAATTTTCTTTGGTAAACTCAAGGCATCATAAATGGTTGTTCTCCAATCCCTTGTGCGATCCACAACAACCTTGTGAGGTAGGTTATAGGCTAAGAATGGATCAGTTCAGGCCTGAATGGGGTTTTGAGCCTAGGTCTGTGTTGGTTCCTAGCCCAACAGTCTTACATTATACCAATGTGCTTGATTTAGCCCCAAGTATCAGATTGTGACAGTAATGCCCAATGGGTGACCATGTCACAAACAGCGAGTCCCAGAATGCTTTGCAACTTGCAGGTTTCCAATGGCAGACAATACGGTTATAGTCTTTAAATGTGTTTTCGTTTGGGTGCAGCGAGTTTTGCTTTTGTTACAGTTCAGTTGCTTTCGTTTTGAATCTTATTTTGAATTTAAATTGTTTTATTACTTATTGTAAGCCACCTGGAGACCTTTATGTTACGGGAAAGCATATAAATTCTGCAAATCAATACAGAAAGGATTAACTGAAGGTATACTGTTGGGAAAACCACAGATTTTAAGTTCTGCAAAGCATTTTGTGCCCTCAACTGGGACAGAAAGAAGTCCCCATTCAGCCACGATGCCCTGGGCTGGTCACTCTCAACATTACCTGCTTCATGGAGTTGCTTAATAATAATAATGATAATAATGATGATGATAATAATAATAATAATAATAATAATAATAATAATAAAAATTATTATTTATACCCCGCCCATCTGGCTGAGTCTCCCCAGCCACTCTGGGTGGCTCCCAATCAAGTATTAAAAACAATACAGCGTTAAATATTAAAAACTTCCATAAACAGGACTGCCTTCAGATGTCTTCTAAAAGTCAGATGGTTGACATCTGATGGGAGGGCGTTCCACAGGGAGGGCGCCACTACCGAGAAGGCCCTCTGCCTGGTTCCCTGTAACTTGGCTTCTCGCAGTGAGGGAACCGCCAGAAGGCCCTCGGCGCTGGGTCTCTGTGTCCGGGCTGAATGATGGGGGTGGTGACGCGCCTTCAGGTATACAGGACCAAGGCCGTTTAGGGCTTTAAAGGTCAGCACCAACACTTTGAAGTGTGCCCGGAAACGGACTGGGAGCCAATGCAGATCTCTCAGAACCGGTGTTATGTGGTCCCGGCGGCCTCTCCCAGTCACCAGTCTAGCTGCCGCTTTCATAGAATTTAGAGTTGGACGGGACCAGGAGGATCATCTAGTTCTAGTCCAATCCCCTGCAATGCAGGAATCTTTTGCCCAATGAGAGGCTTGAACCCACAGTCCCATGCTCTAACAACTGAGCTAAACTGCTCTCTACAGGAAAGGTGGGCTTGATAAGTGAAACTGACTCTCCAAAATGTTGCTGCACTACAACTTCCATAATTTGTGGCCACTGTTTAGGGAAGTTTTTAACTTTTGAGGTTTTATTGTTTTAATACAGTCGTACCTCAGAAGGCAAACGGAATCCGTTCCGGAAGGCCATCCGACTTCCAAAACGTCCAGGAACCAAGGCATGGCTTCCGATTGGCTGAAGAAAGTTCCTGCAGCCAATCGGAAGCCACGTTGGACGTTCAGGTTCCAAAGAACGTTCACAAACCGGAACACTCACTTCTGGGTTTGTGGTGTTCCAGAGCAAAAACGTTTTACTCGCAAGGCGTTCAGGATCCAAGGTACAACTGTATTCTGCTGGGAGCTGCCCAGAGTGGCTGGGGTATAAATTTTATTATTATTATTATTATTATTATTATTATTATTATTATTATTATTATTACTGCCATGCTGCCTGGGGCTGATGGGAACTGGAGTCTAACACCACCCAGAGGGCCATAGGATGCCTCTACTAAATACATCAATTGAAAGATGACCACAAAGTCCTCAGCATGCTGATTTGGTAGGAATTCCACTATGACTTCAGAGAGATAAGATTACCAGTAAGCAGTCTAGGACTGCTAGCTCTAACCCAGTGTTTCCCAACCGGTGTTCCGCGGCACACTACTGTGCCGTGAGACATTGGCTGGTGTGCCGTGGGAAGGAGGCGGGCGAGTCGGGCGGTGAGAGGCGGCGGCGGCGAGGATCCGCGTCGAGCCGGGGGCGGCTCCGCGGTGGTGGTGCCGAGCGGCGGGGCAGCGCGTGCAAAAGGGAGGAGCGCGAGACAGCGGAGGAGGAGGAGGCCGGCATGTCCGGGCAGCAGCAGCAACAACAGCAGCAGCAACTCCCGGCGACGGCTCCTCAAGCCCCGCCGCCGCCCCCTCCTCCGCCCGCTATCGCCGCCACCACCACCACAGCCGCCGCCGCCTCAGTTGCCGCCGTCCCTCAGTCCCTCGCTCTGCTGCCTCCTCCCACCCCCAAAGCTTGGAGGTTCCCCGGCAAGGGGGAGGGAAAAAACTTTCACTTTCGTGCGTCCCTCCCGGCGTGACGCTGCGCGCTGACGTCACGGGGCGGGGCTTTAATGGTGGTGTGCCGCGAGATTTTTTTTCAGTAAACAGGTGTGCCGTTGCCCAAAAAAGTTTGGGAAACACTGCTCTAACCTACCCTATTGGAAGCCGGCCCTCTTCAAAATAATTTGAGTTTAGTCTCAGGCCTGAATATCCCGGATTGTGCAGCCTGACCCAATCTAGTCGTAATTTTTAAATACATACAAATGGCATAAACCCACACAAGGACTTTTGCTAATGCAATAGGTTCCTCCTATTTCCTTGCAAGCCACCCCAAATTGGCTCTGGGAGAGTTTAGAACCCCCAGAATAGCATCCCGGGAGAGGAGAGAGGGAATAATATTATCCGGCAAGCCTAAAAGCTTGAGCTGATGGAACAATTGCCATAGCACTGCACTGCAAGAATGATGCTTAGCAAGAATGATGCATAGTTTGAGGCCACATCCATTAAGGATTTAAGACACCCAATAATAAAAGAAGATTAGGCAGGGGAAAAGAATATGAGAATTAAGATAGAACTGTGTAAAAAAAAAGTTATATTGTATTAAAAATCCATTTATTTTTGTGTTCTGTACATATGAATGGGTCTTACACAGACCATTTGAAGACAAAAAAAGTAAATAAAAACATAAATACATATATATATTCTTACAAAATGTCAGATTTACAAAATATACATCTTGTACTTTTAGCTGGTCTTATTGTCTTAAAAAAAACAAACCACGATCTCTGAACCAGGGAGACAAAACATACTGCAGAATTTTTGGGGTGGGTTTTTTCCCCCTCCTTTGCTGCCTCATTCCCAAACACTATGCCCTGCACACACTCACCACCCCGATGACTTTCCCTTTCCAATACTTTCTATTTATTTAAAAACTTGGATCTCCGTTCATACATATAAAGAAAGTTATTACAGCCATAGGAAGGGGAAATAGAAGCAGAGCTTGTTAAAAGCCTGCCGTTCTCCAATTAGTCTTTCAAGCAAAAATAAATTCAAACCCCTTAGGTTCACAGAAAGCTTTAAAAAAAAGAAAGAAAACCCCTTAATTTATCTATATATGAAAAGGTCAATTTAACATAATTTAAGAGACTTGAGAGCACTGGAACATTTCAGAAAGGAACATGAAATGCTTCTGAAGTAAAACTTAATTTATTTCGATGAATGGCTGTGTGGAGAATTTCACATATGATGATGCTGTGCTGAAAACACCCTTTTTATTTCAGAAGACTTTCTGTTTAACAAGGTTCAAGGAAAGAGACCGACAGCACCATCCTATACTGGTCTACTCAGAAGTATTCCTTACTCCCAGAATACAGCAGGGCAGACTCTGAACATGTATTTATTATGCTTTTTTTTAAAAAAAAAAGAACTGCCCAGTTTAGGAAGAAGAGAAACCAACAGCTGCCGTTTACCATTCATTTAACAGCTTGAGCAAAACCCAAAAGTTTAGCTGTTTGGGACATGTCAATGGGACTTAAAGTTAGAGATGATTAATTACAGGCCACTCAGAATCTAAGTAAGCAGCACTGTGTGGAACTTCCCCCCCCTGATTATGTGCACGCAGGTTTGTGGCCACAACTTTTTGCTGGATGGTGGTCAAGCACACAAAATTAACACGTTCACTACAGAATAAGCCCCAGCGAACCCAGCAAACAGCGTAAAAATGGACAGGAGAGCACTGAAAGTCTCATTTCCGATAAAATCTATTTCTCCATAATGATGGCCACAACCCAGCACAGAATTAGATTTTTAAAAAAGAAACTATAACACTGATTTCAACGGGCTTTTAAAACCACGTGAACAGAGAACGGGATTTAGGTCTGGGCTGATAAATATCTTTCTGCTGCAGTTGTCGGTTTCAAAGTCTTTCCCCCTTTTTTAGTATTTAAGGGTGATCTCTGTAATTAGCAGAGGAAACTGCAGCCTTGTGACCAAGAGATATTATAACCACCTGCTTTGCGGATTTTGATGTGGCCTGTTTTGTCAAGTGTTCCAAATTAAAACTCCCATTTTTTTTAAAACAGTGGGTGAGTCTCAGATTGAGTTAAACAGGAGACCTTTCTGAAACTTCCCTCTTGTGTTCATAAAAGGAATGTGGACCTGCCTGAGCCAGCGAGCTCCATGGCTGAACCTCAACAAATTCTTTGTTAAGTTTCCCCATAAAAAACTGATCCCATGCTTATGCCTTGGCGCAGAGAAATACACTTTTGTTTCTCTTTTGTCTCCGCTAACAAAAGGGGGTAAATCGCATTCTACTGAAAATCAACATGTCAATTCTTTTTTCAGAATCCTGCACAGAAAGCTCCTCTCCTCCCCCACCCCAGCAAGATACCTTCTGCCAAAGCAGGGATTCATTTGGGGAAAAAACTTTTGGGGAGAAAGCTTTTTCCGCAGAGCCTATATAACATGCATTAAACTCAGGAGAGAAGTTTCACAGAGGTCAGTGAAACTTAACAGGGAAATCCTAAAGGGGTCTACTCAGGAGGAAGACCCAGTGGAGTCTTACTCACAAGTAAGTCTACAGAGGACGCTAAAATCCTATACACATACTTACTTAGGAGTAAGAGCCTTGAAATTAAAGGGATGGCTTTCTGAGTAAGTCATGCAGAGGGTGGAACTGAAGATTCCTAAAGAAGTTTGCAGACAGAAGACACACAAAATAGAAGTACAGGGATCAAGACTTCCAATTTGCAGCGTTGTCTGAGAAAAATAAAATCTGCCAGGATGCAGATGACAAAGGCTGTGAATCAGGACTCTGGATTTGGGGTGGGGGAGTTAGGAACTTCCAATCTGACAGCACATAAATCCACAAATGTGACCAATTTTTTTGGGGGGGGGATATATTGCTTCCCCCCCCCTTTCCTATGCTGTCTCCCCAGCTTCTATCCTTGGCACAATCCCAACATTTCCCTTTGAACAGATACTGCAGCACTTTAAAAAAAAAGGGCTGGGAAGTAAAGAAATTCTCACAGGGTTAAGAAATTTACTGTCCCAAGGAGCAGTCTTAAGAAGGACACTTAATCTTCAACTCTTCAATTTGGCCAGCCTGCAAGGCGAAAGAAGCCAGCAACCATCTTTATCTTTGCGGTGGCAAGAAGAAGAGGCAGAGTTTGAAGGAAAACAGCAGACGTCTCACCAGTTCCCTCTTTCCTTCTACAATCAAGTCTTCTCCACAAGAAGCAGGAGAGCAGCTTTGGGGAGACAGCCTGCGAGTGGCGGAAGAGGCTCATACAGCCGTCTCCCCTTTGCTCCCGGTGCTGAGTCTGTGGTAGAAGCGGCGCCAGGACTGGAGGGTCTTGCCCGTCCAAATCCAGAAGCCGGTGGTGATGCCTACAACCATGGTCATGAGGTACTTGATGACAAAGACCGTGAAGTCGGGGCTCATGGGAGCCACGTTGGCAGGGCAAGGGATGGCGTAGCTGTTGCAGGTCTGCAGGAGCCAGGTCCTCTCCCAGGTGTCCCGGAAGGCCTGTTCGTAGAAGTAGCAGGCCAGCACAATGGTGGCCGGCACCGTGTAGAGGACGCTGAAGACCCCAATCCTCACCATCAACTTCTCCAGCTTCTCCGTCTTGGTGCCATCGTGCTTCATGATGGTCCTGATCCGGAAGAGCGACACAAAGCCGGCCAGCAGGAAGGAGGTGCCGATGAAGAGGTAGACGAAGAGCGGAGCCAGGACGAAGCCCCGCAGGGCGTCCACGCTGTAGATGCCCACGTAGCAGACCCCGCTGAGAACATCTCCGTCCACCTGCCCCATGGCCAGGATGGTGATGGTCTTGATGGCCGGCACAGCCCAGGCGGCCAAGTGGAAGTATTGGGAGTTGGCCTCGATGGCCTCGTGGCCCCACTTCATGCCGGCCGCCAGGAACCAGGTGAGTGAGAGGATGACCCACCAGATGGAACTGGCCATGCCGAAGAAGTAGAGGATCATGAAGAGGATGGTGCAGCCCTCCTTCTTGGTGCCCTGCACCACTGTGCGGTAGCCGTCCTCTGAGAAGCGTTCCACGCACACCACCTTGTCTTCCAGGACGAAGCCGGCCACGTACGCCACGGCCACCATGAAGTAGCACCCTGAGAGGAAGATGATGGGCCTCTCCGGGTAGCTGAAGCGCCGCATGTCCACCAGGTAGGTCAGCACGGTGAAGAGGGTGGAGGCGCAACACAGCACGGACCAGATGCCCACCAGCAGGCGGGCAAAGCGGACTTCCGCCTCTTTGAAGTACATCAGGCCGTGGGGCAGGCCCGGCTCACAGGGGGCGCCACAGTCCCTCTCGCCCAGGAAGCGGTAACCCAGGTAAGGGGGCACCTTGAGCTGGCGGGGGCAGGAGAAGGCGGAGCTGGAGGGGGGCAGAGGGTGCGAGGGGGGGTCGGGCAGAGGGGGAGTGGGCAAGGAGGCGGCGGAGGGGGGGTAGCCGCCCCCGGGGGCGCCGCCGCCCGTCCCCCCCGAGGTGTCCGAGGTGTTTTGGCCCACGCAGATCTCGTCGGCGCCCTGGACGGGGAAGTTCTCGCAGCGGAGGCGCTCGGGCCACTGGAAGCCGAACTTGTTCATGAGGGCCTCACAGCCCTGGCGCGCCCTCTCGCAGAGCGAGCGGCAGGGAGGGATGGCCCGCTCCAGGACGGTGCAGACGGGCGCGTACATGGAGCACAGGAAGAAGCGCAGCTCGGGCGAGCACTGCACTTTCACCAGCGGGTAGAACTGGTGCACCTCCAGGCCCGCGTCCTCCTGGCTCGTGTGGCCCAGCAGGTTGGGCAAGATGGTCTGGTTGTAGGCGATGTCCGTGCACAGAGGGATGGAGATGGGCTGGCAGAAGCCGTGGTCCGGCACCGAGATGCCCTTCTCGCCCTGGTAAGGCTGCGCGCCGGCGCCCCGAGGGAAGCCCCAGACCAGGGCGCACCAAGCCAAGGCCCACAGGCCCGCGGCCGGAGGAGGAAGGGGCGCCGCCCGCCTCCTGCACGACGCTCCCCGGCCCATGATCCGGCGCAGCGGCGGGCAGCCGAACACGCGCGCACCCGGGAGAGAAGCGCGGAGCACCAGGGAGGTCTGCGCAGCCCGGCGCCGCGGGGCTCCCAAGGCAAGAGCCGCCGGACCTCCGCGACTTTCCTCCAACGGGGCGAGCTGCAAAAGGGGTCAGGCGGCGGCGGCGGGGCTGGCTCGCTCTTGCAGCCGCCTGCTCTCGGGTGGGGGAGGCGGGAGGGGCGGATCGCTCGCTCAGCCGGCTCTCCCGTTGATCGCTCGCCAAAGGGCTGTGCAGGGATCCGTCTGCGGAGCAGCCAGGACCGGGAAGCCTCTCCGCGTTTGCCTCGCCTCCGGAACGGGTCTTTCCAACACTCAAAACACACGCCTCGGTTTGTCCCAAAAGTACCTGGTTCCCAACGAAATCGCAAGGGCTGGAGCCTTTTTTTCCCCGCCGCGCGAAATCAGTCCATAGGGGTTTTCTTCCTTTTTATATATAAAAAAGTTTCATTGGAGGCGACGGGTGTGGAAGAACAAGTCCTTGAGAAAGTCCCTCCGTGGCAATTTCGCTTGCTCTCCGTTCCTTTAAAAAAAAAATAATGCCTGGGATTTTAGGCTTCAGAGTTAAACGGATTACGATTGCTCCTCCCGCTTGCTCCGCGCATTTTACTCCAGGGGCTTTTCAGTGATTTTTTAAAAATCCAATTACTGCGTGGTTCCTCCGCCCCGCGCTGACTCGGCTGGTTCTTCGCACGCTCTCGACACCCCGGTTTAAGAGGCAGACGAACAGATCCCGCCGGCGCCCCCGCGCTTGGCAGATGCAAGCCGTCTCTCCGGCGGCTGGAGCGGCCGATGGAACGCGCCTTACAAAATGAGGAAGAGGCGGGGGAGCGGCAGAAAAGGGAAAGGACGCATTTATGCCCGAGCGTTCCATGGAACGCCGCCCCTTCCCCATTCACAAACCGAGCGGTGGGCGGGGCCACGCCATCCCAGACCCTGCCAATGGCGCGGTCTGTTGTCTCCGCAGCTCCGCTTACGATTGGCTGGGAAGATAAAAGGGCTCTCAGGGGCGGGGAGGAATGTGGGCGGCTCTCGGGCGGTGGGATTCCTCTGCTGAAAAGTTGAAAGAAACTTTCTCTGAGGCTTGAATGGACGGCGCGGGGGGGCGGGGCGGTGGCGTTCAAAGAGAGCCCAGGACGAGATCAGAGCGGATGAGGTCACATCAGATGTGCAACGTTCCTGATGTTACATCGTTTCTTTCCCAGAAATGATTTTTTCCGAAAACACCAGTGCTGCGTCCCTCCTCAAACGTCCCCTGCTGGGAGAGCACCCAGTAGGTAAGATAGGAACCCAGACTCCAGGTGGTCTGAAACGGCGTCCCGATTCCACGAGTCTTATTTGAACCCTGCTAGTGAAAGGAGTGTGACTTATTTTATATGTAAGCGCTTTAAAGACCAGGATGTTAAACATAATAATTGTACACCCTTTGATTTTTAAAGGGAGAAAGGATAATTATCAAGAAATCTGCAGAGTATACAGATTTGAAGGGGTTTAGTTGCATAGCAGCTATGTCTCCTTGTAACTGTCCAAGTAATTATTTTGAGGGCAGTGTATGTCAATCTAGGGACGCGGGCTTGCCGATCAGAAGGTCGGCGGTTCGAATCCCCACGACGGGGTGAGCTCCCGTTGCTTGGTCCCTGCTCCTGCCAACCCAGCAGTTCAAAAGCACAAAGTGCAAGTAGATAAATAGGTACCACTGCAGTGGGAAGGTAAACGGCGTTTCCGTGCGCTGCTCTGGTTCACCAGAAGTGGCTTAGTCATGCTGGCCACATGACCTGTGTGATGGAAGCTGTACGCCGGCTCCCTCGGCCAATAAAGCGAGCTGAGTGCCGCAACCCCAGAGTCGGTCACGACTGGACCTAATGATCAGGGGTACCTTTACCTTTACCTATGTCCATCTAAGGGAGAGGCCAGTGTATAGCACACAGCTTTACTGCCTACTTTTGAGTAGCCATGAAACTCTGTGGCAATACTTAGCACTTGTTTTCTGAGCGTTTTACTTGCGCAAAAATGTTATTCACACACCACAGCAGCTGCTACTAAATGCATACACAGGCATTCGTTCAGTTTAGTCGCTTCAGGACAGATTTAAATTCAAATGCTCTGAATTGTGCAACTTCAACGGGAATTCTTTTTTTAATCACATTTTTTATGGCCGGGACGTTTCCCTTTCCATAACACAACTTTTAAAATGCACTAAAGTTCAATGTTTAAAGAAAGTTCTGTTAAACTCCCCCCCCCCCAAAAAAAAGAAAAAGCTTCAGAAAAGAAAGTTGACATCATATTAAAGGGTGGAGCTGAAGTCTCATGAACTCCAGTGTGATATGCAAAGCAAACGTAAGCACTTTTATCTCAGAAAGAAATCCCAGGAATTTACTCCCCAGTTAGTGTGTATAGCACACAGCTTTAATTAATCTGAAGCAAGCAGTACAGGCTAGGGTAGTTGAATTCGAGGAAAAGGTGCCAGGAAGATTTTCCGGGCCCAGGACACTGTATGTGGATTGGGTTCCCTTCACCTCTCACAAAAAGAGGATTCAGATTTGCATTATAGTTTTAATTCACAGGGACTAGAAACTTACTTTTTTTAAAGATGGGTGGAGCTCAGAGTCTGATTTCCTTTGTTGGCTTTGGGTCTGGTACAGCAGTGCCCCCCCTCCCTGCCCCACATCTCTGATTTCAGGGACTCCATAATAATGCAGTCTCTTTCTTTTCATTCCCTAACAATGAATTGGTGGGAACGGCTCTCCTCTACACTCCATTCACTTCTATGGAGGGCGGGGGAAGGGCTGCCATCAAGAGCAGCCTTAAGGACGAAGGCCAACGGTCCCTTCTGCTGTTTACAGCAAGATGCAAACGACAAATGGCCAAATTTGAGTCTGTTTGAGTTCACGCTTCCCATAAGCTGCTGTCCTAACCATATTTCGTAGAGCGGAATTAAGGAACCCGTTTCAATGAATCAGAGCGCTTACGAGTAGGCGTGGTGTTTTTTAGGATATAGTACGGCGCTGTGGGTTAAACCACAGAGCCTAGAACTTGCCGATCAGAAGGTCAGCGGTTCAAATCCCTGCGACGGGGTGAGCTCCCGTTGCTGGGTCCCAGCTCCTGCCAACCTAGCAGTTCGAAAGCACACCAGTGCAAGTAGATAAATAGGTACCGCTCTGGCGGGAAGGTAAACGGCGTTTCCGTGCGCTGCTCTGGTTCACCAGAAGCGGCTTAGTCATGCTGGCCACGTGACCCGGAAGCTGTACGCCGGCTCCCTCGGCCAATAAAGCGAGATGAGCGCCGCAACCCCAGAGTCGGCCATGACTGGACCTAATGGTCAGGGGTCCCTTTACCTTTACCTTACTTTGGAGATCTGAAAAACTTTAATGGCTTGGCTTTTCACGGTCTGCCCAACGTTGGATAAATTCTGGTTCTGGGGTATGGAAGGAAGCAAAATTCGCCCGTCGGTTCCAATGTGAGTGTGGTTAAGGAACTGCAGTTGTTACGCATCTGGCTTCAGCCTCTTGGCTTGGCAAGAAGGGCAGGGAAATAAGTCTTGGAACAACAACATTTATAAAACACCCACATCCACACCCCAGAACAAAACATCATATATTCTTACGTAAGTAGCTGCTTAACCTCAGCAACTAAAACTGCACACCACAACAGCAACAGAGTTTGTGGTAAACACTTGAGTCTATTTCATGAGTCTTCAGGGAAAGGAAGTTATGTCTGGACGTAACCTCTGGGAAGCGTCAAGTGATCCGCAATGTTTTAACATCATGGCTCAGTTGTGCTGCGGGGTTAAGAACTGCTGTTTTTATTTTATTTTTCAATTTTTTAAAATTAGTTATTATTATTATTACTGGGAAGGGTGGGGTATAAATAAAAAATATTATTATTATTATTATTATTATTATTATTATTATTATTATTATTTTAGTCAGTCAAAGGCCTGGAGGAACAGTTTTGTATAATGAAGTATATAATGAAGGTGGACACAATGGGGAGCCACTGCAGAAAAGGCCCCTTTCTCATGTTGCCACCCTCTAGACCTCATGTAGAGGAGGCACATGAGGCTGTTTATGAGAAGTCTTTCTAAAAGGAAGGGTGCAAACATCCCACTCTTCTGCCAGGTAACCAGGTACAGAATTGCAGCTTCAATAAATATAGATCGGTGGGTTAGGCAAGCTGAATCCACTAGCAGTATTCTTTTTTAAAAAGGGGAAAAAAACGTTGGGGTAAAGGGTTACATCCCTTTGCAGGGAATGTTCACCCAAATAGTGATACAAAATCATTGCAGACTCCCACCCACACAATTCTATTTTTGCCTGCCCCAATTGACATGCTGCAATATATTTTTAATGTAGCAGGATTTGACTTGCTTCTGGGCTGAATGTGGAGAGAGAGAAAAAGCCTTGGCCTTTTTTAATTGCAGGACTCTGAGACACAGCCTTTGTCTGTGGTTAAGCAGGGTTAGTTTTCTTTTTTTAAAAAAACACACGTATTTTCACGCAGCCACAGAGCGCTTAAGTCATGCAAACCCATTTTACCAGAGTTACCACCAGTGACATATCAAGGATGAGGTCTTCCAACTTGATCCATTGTGTTTAACTTCATTCAGTCCCTCAGAGTATTGGCTTCAGCAGAAGCTCTGGGGGGATTAGGCTGAACCGGGCAATATCTGTCATCTGTGCCTGCGCAGATTCCTTATCGCTATTTGCATTTCTGTTAAAAACGTGTGAGGCACAATGCTAGGCATGTCTGCTGGGAACTGAGTTCAAGGGGCTTAGCCCTAGGTAAGTGGGTATAAGATTGCTGTGATAGCTCAGTCAGTAGACTCTTAATCTCAGGGCTGCGGATCAGTCTGAGGGAAACCAAAGAGTTAGGGGTGGATGTGTAACATCACAGAACATGGGCAAGAATTGTGTGTTGTCTGGGTGGGTGGGGAGGGGGCCGAGCATCATAGTGGTAGTATAAAATGTAAAGGGACCCCTGACCATTAGGTCCAGTCGTGGCCGACTCTGGGGTTGCGGCGCTCATCTCGCTTTATTGGCCGAGGGAGCCGGCGTACAGCTTCCGGGTCATGTGGCCAGCATGACTAAGCCGCTTCTGGCGAACCAGAGCAGCGGACGGAAACACCGTTTACCTTCCTGCCGGAGCGGTACCTATTTATCTACTTGCACTTTGACGTGTTTTCGAACTGCTAGGTTGGCAGGAGCAGGGACTGAGCAACCGGAGCTCACTCCGTCGCGGGGATTCGAACCACCGACCTTCTGATCAGCAAGTCCTAGGCTCTGTGGTTTAACCCACAGCACCACCCGCGTCCCAGTGGTACAATACAGCATCTTAAAAAGCAGAGACATCACCTTGCCAACAAAGGTCCGTATAGTTAAAGCTATGATTTTCCCAATAGTGATGTATGGAAGTGAGAGCTGGACCATAAAGAAGGCTGATCGCCGAAGAATTGATGCTTTTGAATTATGGTGCTGGAGGAGACTCTTGAGAGTCCCATGGACTGCAAGAAGATCAAACCTATCCATTCTGAAGGAAATCAGCCCTGAGTGCTCACTGGAAGGACAGATCCTGAAGCTGAGGCTCCAATACTTTGGCCACCTCATGAGAAGAGAAGACTCCCTGGAAAAGACCCTGATGTTGGGAAAGATGGAGGACACAAAGAGAAGGGGACGACAGAGGACGAGATGGTTGGACAGTGTTCTCGAAGCTACCAGCATGAGTTTGACCAAACTGCAGGAGGCAGTGGAAGACAGGAGTGCCTGGCGTGCTCTGGTCCACGGGGTCACGAAGAGTCGGACACGACTAAACGACTAAACAACAACAACAACAACAAATGGTACCCATCTGGACAGAGAGT